GAAAGAGGATATGTCTCTTGGTTCAATACGGATTCACATGATTAAGCAAAAACACATATCCTGAAACTGATGAGAGATATCCTTAAACACAAAGATTTCATCTATGTTTCCTATTCAACATGAATTTTTCACAACTATTAAGCTCGATTTCTCGAGATTCTCAGGCGTTTCCAAGGAAGGAGGCAAAAGGGTATCCTTAACATCACTCCAATTTCTGAAAAGACTGATCCTTTTTCATCCAATTAAACAAGAATGTCAACCTGAAACTGATGAGAGATATCCTTAAACACAAAGATTTCATCTATGTTTCCTATTCAACATGAATTTTTCACAACTATTAAGCTCGATTTCTCGAGATTCTCAGGCGTTTCCAAGGAAGGAGGCAAAAGGGTATCCTTAACATCACTCCAATTTCTGAAAAGACTGATCCTTTTTCATCCAATTAAACAAGAATGTCAACTTCCAAGCATCCACGTTTCCTCAGGTGAAAAAAGCTTGGAACTTTTTCAAGTCCAATTCAAGAAATTCTTACACTTTTGCAGCCCGATGCAGTTCCAAACAAAAACAGAACACAATTCTCCACAGCTAAAAACACAGTCTCTCACGGTTCTTACACAATTTCTAAACAACGGAACTGACCCATCATCTTACAATCACCTGAAATGCGAAACAGGTTACAGAAAACGCTGTCCGGAACCGTGTCAATGTCATATTCAACTAAGAGAAGATAGATCAACCTACTCTGTCGAGACCTTGGTCTTGTAGAGGAGGAACGACTGTGTTCTTGTCACCGACTGTGGCTCTTACACATTGGGATCTCACGCGACGATCAAAGCTGAGAGGGGGAATCACAGGAGATGGGGTCGAAACCCATTGAGCTTGAGAAACCATCATCATCATGTTATTAGAAATTTTTTTAGGGTTTTACCTCATCCTCTTTTTTTCTTTTTCTTTTTTTCATGTTCGAGGCTGAAGAAGAATCCGTTGGTCCAATTTAATCCACGAGTTTTATTTGGCTCACAAAAAACATTGCCTTTGTTGTTATTTTAGTGAACCCTAAACCAAGCATACCATACCACACGATTTTGTCCCAAAACAAATCATAAAATTGCATCATCTATATCTTTAATAAACATAATAAAAGATATGCTCAAGAACAAGAATTCGCGATCCAAGAGGAGATCAATCAATTACTTCAATATAAATTGAAATAGGATACAAGTGGAAATCCAAGAATCTGTGGTCAAACTCCAAAGACTAGTTATAATTCAAAAAATTTGGAATCCAACTCCGAGAAAACATTACCCACGAATATTCCACCAAAATTCCTTGTCATAATTCCGGTTTTTCTACCAAAAATAATATTAGTTATAATTTCGGAGTTTTGTAACAAATCCTCACTCAATTTCTGCGATTCGGAAGACTAGGGGTGGACCCGAAACCGAACTAGACCGATCCGAATAATGTTCGGTTCTAATTTGATACACTTTTTATGAAACCGAAAGAACCGTTTCCAAACCAAACCGTATCAACACTGAACCAAAATTCAAATCTTCCACTAATATATATGTGTAAATATTATAGTTTGCTACTTATTTGATATTCATATAATAGTATCGTTTCGAACCGAACCGATACTAAAACCGAATCAAACCGTTTAACATTCGGTTCTAGTTTGGTACACTTTTTATAAACCGAAAATACTGTTCCTGAACTGAACCAAAACCCGAAACCGAAACCCGAAACCCGAAACGCCAACTCCTCCCAGCAACCATATTACCAACCAATTTTAACCAGATTCATGATGAACAAATACCGCAATGAATCCCAAATTTGAAACCGAAATCAAAAAGGGTATTTTCCTGGGTACGATCACATTCATACTGACTATAAGGAAGATCTGTGGATCGCTAACTCGAAATCAGAAAAATCAAACCCATACCAAAAGGGTATTTAAATCTGATAATGAACTGGCAACTTCAATGTCAATCTTTCTTTCTTTCTTTCTTTCTTTTTAATCATACTCTCTTCTACCTTAGAGTACAGAAGCCGCCCCCTTCTCTAACGATGAAAAGTTCAAACATCCCAAACTGTTGTAACGAACGAAAAACAAATCTCGGTGCACGGGGAATTTCCATTACCTTCCTCGGATCATATCGTTACGGAAGCTCTTTCTATCCCGTTACAGCACTCGAGAACATGCCACCTGTGGATCAGACAACATAAACCAGTTAAACCTAGTTTGATTCAATCTCTTGGGACACCTAAAATCCGGGCTTTGGTTCCAACCCAACGTTACTATAGAGCAATTTCTCGCTTTGTTTATGATTCAAGGGACACCCTTTCTACGTTTTCTTACCTCTTTCTCACAAAAATTCAGATTAAGCGCTTCCGGGGAGAGCAGTCACCTTCCCAACAGCAACCGTTTTCCCTGCATCACCCAAAACATTCATCACCCATTCATGTTAAATGAGGTAGGAATACGAATACACATCAAAAGAGTGATCTTCCGGCATAAATTTACCTTCCGTCCTTAGAGTAAATCTTCCAAGTTGGGGGAAATCCGAGAATTTCTCAACACAAATGGTGTTGTTAACCTGCATATACAAGCAAAGAGATGGCATCCATCAGGATTGATAAGGCAAGACAAAGAACTTAAAAACAAACAAAAAAAGACACACTGAGACTCCGCATCTCCTGAAGATTTAGGAATTTAACCATTTCCCAATTGTTGAAAAATTTTGAGCTCCACGTTTAATGGAAAAGAATTTTGCACGACTAATGAAAGGAAACCAGGAGAAGGAACCAGACCTGTACACGGCACACAACTAAGGCACCATTCTTCACAAACAGGACCTTCTTTTTCATGGGTTTCCTCGTCTTAGGATCAATTTGCTGCATTAGTTCAACTATCTCACATTCCTCCACAACAGAATGGATGTGCAAAACAGCCTTGTAACCAGCAGTGAAAATAGCCTACAGGACCAGCAACGTTGCCAAGAAAGTAAGTAATTTTGTCTATAAAATAATAGTGATAAAGAAAATCATTTGCATGGATTGTATAACACAAAAGCAAAAGGTCATACGCATTTTTCTGTGTAGAAAAGCAAAAATAATTGGTGTGGAAAGCTGCGCTTACATTGTCGAGCAGCTCAAGGATCTGAAGTTGGGCAACAAACTCAGAGACAGCAGAAACGGGCCTTGCTGCAACAGAAAATAAAGATATCAGTAAAATGAAGAAATATAATAGAGAACATACAGGATTGCAAGTATACAAAAGAAGAGCTAGAAAACGGCAAAATAGACCATGTGCATAATTTAAGCATAACAGACAATGCACATATTTAAATGGTTCCCTAAACAAAAGCACAACATTTACTACAAGTTGCCTGGAAGAAAGGGAGTGCATCTATCACTGACAGAAAACAACATAATCGATAAGAATCACCCCTGATCAAGCTCAAAACAGGTGTAGGACGTATAATCAGAAGTTACCTAAAAACATCATACTCATGACTCACCGATGCCGGACAAAACAAAACCAGAAACGATATCCTCTTCTTCAACGCCAGAGAGACGGACCCTCAAATTCTCACCAGGTCCTGCACGTCTAACTTTGTCCTCATCACAGAAGATAGCAAGAACTTTCACTTGTTCCTACATTAGTACAGAATTCCTTAGAACAAAAACATAAGCCATTGAAACAACATGAAACCAGTCAAAACGAAAATAGACAGCACCTTGTTTGGCATGACAATCAAGGAATCACCCTCACGAATGCTACCAGATTCTACTTTTCCCATGACGACAGTTCCCATGTCTTTGAATTTATCAATTATCGGCATCCTACAAGTTATAAATCTCAGCTGAGGTCAATACAGCCAAAACATCAAAATGTCTTCTAGAACTAAAAGCTCCTCAAAGAAAAAAGCTCAACAAGACAGCTTGTGCTCTGCCAAAAATAACACATGCCAAACTTGACAAAGTTATATACAATAACGTTAGCATTCTGTTAAGGTTCAGACTCTGAAACTCAACTTTCCAACACAAATCGAGCCTTTATTCCTCACCGAAAACCTGAATACAACTTTGGATGATCTTGTTTTATGAGAGGATCCCAACTCTCATTCCAAGAACAAACCCTAACCCTTTCAGAAACTTCTCCGTCATCCCTTTCTCCTCTATCTAAGCTGTATTGCAACTACTAACTAACCAATACTAACAGCCAAAACAACCCATACTAACTATAGTCCAGTTTCAATGAATCTACCTAACCCATACATCTATCACATTCATAATGAATCAAACAAGACAAAAGATATACATAACATAATAACAAAAGAGAAAAGAATGGAGCAGTAATGACGCACCTGAATGGACCGTTAGGATCTCTTGGAGGAATCTCAATAGAATCAAGGACTTCAAACAAGCAGGGGCCACTCCACCAAGGACAAACACCTTTCTCCATCTTTGTTTTCATGTTTATGCCCATTAAACCAGATATAGGCAAGAAGATCACATCTTTACACAAAAAAGATAAGGACAATACATTAAACAGACAGCTCAGGAAACTAATGTAAAATATTTTTAAGAGTAATGTATTGTGGAAGTCAATTATTTTCTTAACAAACAACAATCCTACCGTTGCACACAGCAAAACTCTAACAGTATACATAACAGGATGATGATTCAACCTTGAGAAACGCAAGAAAGACAAAAACCGCAGACAGTAGAAACACAGAGAAAAGGTAACAGAGAGAATCAATGCAAGGATCCAGGGAAAGAATATGCACAATTGCCCAGCTTAACAATTATAAGGCTCCCCCAACAACTACTACATACTTAGTAAAAGAACAGCAGCATCCACAAACCAACATATCCAGGTAAACAACCTGGGAAGCCCTCTTGAGCAAGCAGGGTTTTACAATGAATACTCTTTGATCAAAGTAAGGAGACTATGGAATGAACTAGGAGTCAAAAACACAAGAAGACTGTAAAGTAGTTCTAACCTCCAAAACCAACTACGTGAACACAAGATTGATCAACACAATACATCTAACGACAAGGGCAGTACTCGTAAGAAACTATGACATACATTTCAAAACAAATTCCATTTAGCACAATATAAGAACAGATCTCAGATAGGATACCCATTAATGGTTTTCCTGCCCCTTCCATGAGAAAAAAAAAAAAAATTGAAAGTTTCTAGAAATGGAAGATCTTATAGTCGCATTAGCACAAAACTTCTCTGGTGTGTACCTTTCTTTGTGTTGTAGCCTGAGGATTTGAGAAATGGGCTCATCTTTTGTTCAATTTCATCATACCTGCACAGAATAGATAAACTAAAAATGTGCGGGGAAAGAAAGACAATGGCAATGACCAAAAAGATGAATGTAAGTACCTCTCTTTCGACCAGTTAACAGTTGGCTCATCCATCTTGTTCACAACAACAACGAGCTTAGACACACCCAACGTTTTTGCAAGTTGGACATGTTCGCGTGTCTGTCCACCTCTCTCATAACCTGTTTCAAATTCACCTTTTCGTGCCGAAATGACCTACAATGGAATCGTGAGTTAACAACTTAACTGAAAGAGAGGATACAATAGATAACCAAAATAATATGAAGATATTAAATGGCTAACCAGCACACCAATGTCGGCCTGTGATGCTCCACTAATCATATTTGGGACATAACTCTTGTGACCCTAAAATCCAAAGAAAGCAAAAAAACAGACTAAAATTGTCTGACTCCATGCAATAAGAATACTATGAGATAAGAAATTGATCCACCAACCTCCACCTTAACAAAGGATTTTACAAAGTGAAACAAAAATATATGAAAGTAATAACAGTTTAGATCAATGACTCACCGGTGCATCCAAAATGGTAAATCTAGTACTCTCAGTTTCAAAGTGAGCCCTTCCAACTTCGACTGTTTTCCCCTGTCAAATTTAAGATTGATACAAATTGGCAAAATGAGATTCAATCAGAGCAACCCCCTGTGATTTCCATCCACATGTAAACTTACACCACTAGACCATTTCATGCATGAGAAGCATCTAAGAAAAGCATTCTCTGCAAAATAGAACGATGTTAACATCGCAGCTTCACTCAAAACACGGAAAATACCTTGACCCTCTCTTCTTCATTGGTATCCATAATATATGCCATATACCTAGGACACGGGACAATAACTATGTCATGGGGACGAGATACGAATGCAAGATAATTAACAATAAAGTCAAAACCAACAAGAAAGGCTCACCAGCTTTCTCTACTCTTTTCTTTTGCCTCCCTCTCATACTTTTGAATAGTCCGATCATCAACCTGACCGCTGAGGAAGAGTATCTGACCTCCAATCGTAGATTTGCCTGCATCTGAAGTTGACAAGCGGCTGTGTAAGGATCTAAGGCAGATGCGGTAATTATCAACTTAAAGTAAAGCAAACAGAGCTAAAGCTCACATTGAGTAGGATTTCAAAAATCATACTACATAACATAGTCTATATCGGTCTACATAAAAGAGGCCACATTATCTTTTAACATTTTCTAGTCCTCGTGCAATCTAACAGGTAAAAATTAGAAACTACGCGACATTTATCTTGTGCAAAAAATGAAAACATAAAAGAGAAACAATAAAAAAGACCATCACATAGAAGACCTTACCAACATGTCCAATGAACACAACATTCAAATGTCTCTTTTTATTTGCTTCTGCCTCAATCTCAGCTTCCTCTTGGGCAGCCTTCTCCTTAGCTATACACAACCAAAGATATCAGAAAAAGGGAAAAAAAGTTGCAACAGAAACTGCACCAATAGCAGAGAAATAAGAAAACAAGAGTCATCATCAACATCGCCTTAATCCCAAGTAAATAAGAAAACAAGAGTATAGCTAAATAATCCAGGAACCTTTTGACAGAGCATGAACCACCTGCGAGCTGTCATGACCCAGATCTCTGGCATCTGAAACCAACAGAGCCAAAAAATATTCATGTACTCAGAAGTAATGGTCTTAGGCTGGCCAAATGGAGAATATAAACAATCAATGAACCTTCCAGGCTATCAGGAACTGGAGCCGGATCTTCTTGCACCGCTTCTTGCAAATCTGTAAACCAACAAAATGAAGATAACCGTTAATAATACATAAGTCAATAAGTTTGCTGAGTCTCTCTCCTGTGGCACCAGCTACAGAAAGTATACATAAGCAGCTAAGAGACTACCAAATCTGAACCAGATACGATAACCAACTAAAAAGAGGTAGGCTAGGACACTACTCCCGAAATATGTAAACCTACAGGACTCACGAGCCAATTACTAAGAAAAATTCTATGCGAAGACAAAGAAAGCTTGGAATCGATTTTAATTATAAGTTCCATTCGCTTAACAGGGCATGAAAAACCCAAGAATAATTTTTTGTGTTCGCAGCCAAAATCCGAGAAGCAATTCAGTCACTTCTCTTTTCTCAATACCATCCCAAATAAACTCGTGATACCTGCACATAAGCACTGCAGATCGACAAACACACAACCAAGTGATACAGGACACATGCATCAAAACGTCAAACAGCCAAACAATCTTTCACAGGAAAAAAGTTACACCTGATATTGTTCTGATTTCCTTAGAAGTGTAAATTTTAGCTTGAGGAGTCATTTTCTCTTAAGGGGTTCTAAACTAAACGTATGAGCCACAGTAGACTGTAACTCAACCTCATATTTGTTTCTATCTAGTACTAATGATAAAGGCATAAAATGGAACTACATAACATAACATGGCAACCGAATAAATAGGATAGAATTTTTGCTACTATCAACCTTCTTCTGCTCCACCCAAGTTCTCAACTTCATTTGCCTGTGTATTTTCTGGATTCATAGCTCCATTGTTATCCTCTGCATGCATAGGCAGATAGATAAAAGTATAAGCGAGAATAAAAACAAAAGTTCATTAGGCAATTAATCTTTACCTACCTGCTTGATCGAGCTGTAGTGCACGGATCTCTGCCTCAAGATCTATAAAATAAGACCAGGTTAGAAGACAAGAAGGTGGTAAGAACAATTGATACTTCAGAATATTAAGAAGCATGAACACACTCATTACCTCAAATTTCATGTTAATAATATATCACAAGAACCAAACATTACGACAGTATAATCTTGATGTTATCAGAAATTGACTAATACCCACCTCTAGGAGCACTAGCAGATCATTCATCCAACTACAAAATTGCAGGAGAAATTGAGAATGGAGGTAAACATGTTCAAATTTCAGAAAAAGAAAAACGTTTCTGATCCAATAAGTTCTACACAAGCTTGGACAACCGATCAGCTAGATTCCTTAGGTGTCCCAAACACAAATTCATAAAGGACCAACCCAGTTTGAGTCACCACCCGGTGGGGGTGCTGGGAAGGGAATATCCTAGGCAGCCTTACCCCTGGTTTTCTATGCAGAGAGGATGATTCGAACCCGCGACCTCAGACCCTACGGCAAGTGAGCTTACCGCTGAGCCAAGCCGGCCCTTCATAACATAATTTCATAAATCGGGTAAATTACTGACGATCTAATGACAGCTTCGCAATTAACGTCCACTACACAAAATGGGGGCTACCACAATCTAGATTCTATCCATTCAAACCAGAATCTCACAGGAAATGAACAAGGAACCCGTTCTATTACCCTATCCTCACTGCCTGAGGGCATAATTTTACACCAAGAAAAAAATTCTGTCGGCTCGAAAATTTACACGCAAACATATACAACCAATCTCACTAGATTCCTGTAATAAGCCCTAATTCATAATTCCCGTAAAATTCACCGATTACACTAATCAAGATTCCAGATTGTAACTTTGAGAGCAACAAATCCAGATGACCTAAATCGAGATTCAGTAAACCAGAAACAGACAAGAAAATGGAAGAGGAAAGCCGATCGAACGATAGAATTCGAAACCGCGGAATCGACGAAAAGGAAAAAAAGAAAGAAAGAGAGAATGGAGAGAGATCGGAAACCCTACCCATATCGGATGCAAGACTGATCGAAGAGATTTTCTCTAGGTTTCCCGAGGAAGAAGAGGCGCCTTTTAGGATGCCGCTTCTCTAAGACTTGGAAATGCCCAGACGGAAGGTACACAGGTGAGATTTGCAGATACACACCGACAAGTGAAACCCTAAATTTCGATGAGACGCCAAAAAAAAAAAAGTAGATAATAAAATAATATTTGTTTAAAATTACAAAAATATTTTAAAACTATTTTTATTTGGTAAAATGACATTTTCCTACACAAATCTATCAAAATATGACATTTTTCTATACGAATTTTTAATTTGACAAATGTCTACACCCAATTAACAAATTTCCTAAATACCTACATGAATTATCTAATTTCAGTGCAATTAACTACACAATCCGAAATTATCAATTAATTGCTGATGTGGAAGGCCACGTGGCGACTCATGTGGAATTTTTTTGCCATGTCAGCACGAATTAAAAAAATAAAAATAAAAAACATAAATATATTTGTATGTATGCATATATATATATATATATATATTTGTATAAAATTTAAATTTATACAATATATATATATATTTTTTAAAATTTATAAAAAAATAAAATTTATATACATACAAATATATAAATATATATGTGTATATTTATATATATATATATATACAAATACAAATATAAACATATATATATACAAATATATATACATATACATACATACAAATATATTTACATGTATATGTGTATATATATAAATATATTTGTATGTATATATATTATATATATTTGTATAAAATTCCAATTTATACAATATATACTTTTTAAAATCTATACGAAATTTAAATTTATATACATACAAATATATAAATACATATGTTTATATATATTTTTTTTATTTTTTATTTTTAGGAAAATTTTATTTTTATTTTTTTTAATTTATGCTGATATGGCAAAAAAATCCCACGTGACATGCCCCGTGAGCCACCACATGGTCTTCCACGTCAACAATTAATTGATACTTTCAGATTGTGTAGTTAATTATACTAAAATTGGATAATTCGTATAGATATTTGAAAAATTTGTTAATTGGATGTAGATATTTGTCAAATTAAAAATTTGTATAGGAAAATGCACATTTTGATAATTGGTGTAGAAAAATATCTTTTTCTTTTTTTATTTTAATAATTTTGGTCACGTGTCGACGCATGATATTATTTCGCATACAATGGGGCCCAACCCATCCGACGGCCCAAATAATATTCGTAAAATGTTTTTATGAATGACGTGACAAAATCCAGCCCATCCAACTCATGGTATGCTAACTGTTAAGTTTCCAATTGATACACATCTCAATTTCTTTACTTTCAAATAGAGATTTTTAGAGTTTTTTAAAAAAATAAATGTATATATTTTTATTTTCGATTGGGTTTCTGGTTTGATTTATTAACTTATTTTTAATGTAAATGTAATTAATATTAAACTGGATTTCTATTTTATGATTTTTGTACGTTAAATTAGATTTTGTTAGTCGGTTTGTATATGTCTTTTGTGTACTTTTCTAGGAATCATAAACTCGGTTCGGTAAATTGCTATTGGTCGGTCAGTCGGTGTAATACAATTTATAATGATATATATATATATATATGATTAAGGGGTAGGGGTTGGAGATGTTGTTGTTGTTATTATTATTGTTATTTAATAATTATTATTATAAGAAAAAAATGAAAATAGGAGGTGGAAGCATGTGACGTGTTGGACGAGAAGTCAGAAAACAGGGAATCTATCTAACACTAACAACGTCAGGCTCTTTTCTTTATCATCACACGTTTTGAAACACAATATATATACATATGAAATTTATGTTTTTCAAATAATTCAAACTGTATTTATACTATATTATTCTAGTTAAAATAATATAGATACTTTATTTAGATATGTATAATAAAATCGAACTTGAATAATATCTATTTATATTTGAATTAAATATACTATAAAAATGAAATAGAGTTAATAGATGGTTATGATCTAAATACGATCTAACCAATTGGAGAACGAGTTACTTGATTAATTGAATTGAAGTTAATATAATAGTGTGCTTCCCAACAACTCTTGGAAATTTCAAATGGGAAAAACATGAATCTAATATATATATATACAGCAATATGATTTACGAATAGTGTGAAATAAATATTGAACATTTGCTTAGACAACCACAATTTTCTTGGAAACTTCGTTGTATATTATAGTTTCTCTACCATAAAATCATCATTGCCCCATGTATATATATATATCATATATGTATATGTATATATTTACTCTTTCACAAAGACAGGCACAGCTATTCAGTCTTAGGGTTTATTAGGGCTACGTGTAGAATCTTTTTATTTCATTTTTATCTTCTTTCCTCTCTTTGTCTGAATTTTCGCTTTCTTTCGCAAGTCTAAAGCATCCAAAGTTGTCTGACTTCTGTCTGGTTCTAAAATATCTCCACCTTCTTCCTCTTCATATATTCTTGGTTTAAGCTCATGAAAATGGATCTGGGCTTTTGTCTGCCTCGTCTTATATCTTATGGGTTAAATCTAGTTTCTTTGATTTTCCATATAGCTTTTTCAGAATCTATATATTATATTTATCATCAGTTTCTTGACTGTCTTATGGTTAATGATTTCTGTCCTTTTTGAGTTATTGGTCTAAGATCGTGAAGTAGATCTGGGTATTGATCGGACTGTATATATATATATGAGGGTCTAGGGTTTTTTCCCACCCTCTTGTTCTTCATCGTGTGTACATATCTCTGGGCTATGGCTTCTTAATCGTCTATACGAATATTGCTTTGCCATACATATATACATGTACTCTTGTTGATGTTCTCTATTTGTCTAAAAGTGGTTTAGATTTTTGATTTCTTGGAACAATTAGTTTTAAATACCTGCAAGTTTGCTACTCGCGGGTTTACGTTTCATGCTATATATACATACATATAATATATATATGTATAGTACTATATTTTCATGAATTCTTGAATGCGAGTTTTAAGATCTCTCTTTTCCCTTTTTCCCTCCGCATAAATGATCAGCATATATATATATATATCCATGCTTGTTCATGTATGTATATATGTATGTAACACATGAACTAGGGTTATTGATTTTTTTTCTTGGATATTAGACTATATATATATATATGTGAGGGAGAAGAAGATGGTGTGGAAAAAGTGGAGCTCCTTGGAGTCCAAACGAATGGTTTAGCTGGGTTAAATAAAGCTGCTCAGCTATGGTTCCCATAAGCCTTATCCTTCACTCATTTTGTCATATACGTATATATATATATATGTATATATAACATTCTCGTATATAAAATTGTTTATGTATAATACACAGAAGAAAGGAAAGGATTGGCTTATGGTTTGCATATCTTAGGAGCTTTGATTTGCCCTTCATTGCTTCACCTTTCTTTGGATTGAAGGGAGCTCTACTTCTCTCCCATTTTCCCCATTTCTATACATTATTATTTTAGATTACATTATGTAAGCTAAATAATATCGGTTTCCGGTATTTTTCTAGGATGAAACAAAACCAGTCATGTGGTTGTGCCTTTACTAATATATTACTCTATCCGTTTCAAAATATTTGTATTTCTAGGTTATTTTTCATATTTTAAAATATTTTTTTACAATAGTTTCCAATTTTATCTATACTGAATTCCAATAAATTATTAATAATAACATTATTTTTATCATCAAATAAGGGTATATATGACTTGATTTTTTATCTTTTTTCTTAAAAAATATGAAATAACCTAAAAATAAATATTTTGAAATAGAGGTAGTAATATATATATATATATATATATATATATATATATCTTCATTGTGTAATATTTATCACTTTTTTCTTAGATTAGAGTTTGAATTTTGTACTAACAAATATTATAATTGATTTGGTTTTGCAGCTCCATTGATTGATTTCATTGTGTAACATGTGGAAGACAGGAGGGTTCATTTTCATAGGGAACTCTCATGGTTTATTGAATTCTTTTTTTTTTATGGGAAGTCGAGGATATTCTTTCTGCAACCTTGCTTTCATTTGGTCATTTCATATTATGTCTAATTGTTCATAGTAATGTCATATTGGGTTACCGAACCCATTTGGATACAACCCATTTGGAAACAATCTATTTGGATTAATAATTTATTGGTTTGGGTAGAATTTAACCAGGACCGTCTATAAGGGGGTGTAATTGGAGTTTCTGCACAGGGCCCCCAATTCTATGGGGCCTCACTTTCTTTTTTTTAAAAAAATATTTTTAAAGTTTACTAAAATTTTTATTAAAATAGGAAAAACTATTATAAATTTAAAATTTTAAAAGATTAAATTTTGTTAAATTATAATGATCTTTCGTGTATTATAGAAACTATAAATTTTAGTTCATAATTTTTAATCACTATATATTTTTAAAAATAAACAAAATTAGTATAAAATCAAAAGTTCCATAACAATAAATTTAATTTTAATTTGTATTACTCTTTAAAAATAAAAATAATAATTATTTTAAATTTTCTTGTAATAAATAATATATTTTTTCTAATTTTTGTTTAATTTTTATATAATATAAAATTGTATATATTATATAATATATTTATTTTTAAAAAATATTAGTTAAATTAAAAAATATATAAAAAATAATAAATATATAATTGAGGAAAGCCTCTCAAATCTATGAGACGGTTCTGAATTTAACCCAATAACAATAGTAAAATGAGTTAGTTCAACCCATAAACCCATAAAACTCATTTCACCTCATTTAATCACTTTAATATTCTAAATCTTTTCTAACAAGAATAAAAAAAATATATTCAATTAGAATATCATTCTATTTTTTAGGATTTAAAAAGATTTTTTTTCTTAATTTTAAAATACTAAAAAGATAATTTTATATACTTAATTTAATATATCCTAAAATTATATATTTTTTATCTATGAAGAAAATTATCCAAAAAGAGATAAAAAAATACATATTAACTTACGTTAATATCAATACCCATAAAATAAAATAAATAATATATGTAAATAAAAGGATTCAAATTAACTTCATTTCGATTCGAATCAATTCAATCGATTCATCAAATCGATGAGTTTTGATTTGTTTCGAGTGAATTCGTTCGATTCGCATTGAATCGATCGTTTTGATTGGTTTCGAGTCGAATTCAATTAAGATCAAATCAATCCGTTTTGATTTATTTCGAGTCGAATTCGATTCGACTTGATTCGAATCAAATTGATCATTTTGATTCGTTTTAAGCCGAATTTAATTCGGATCGAATCGATCCGTTTTGAGCCGAATTCGATTCGGATCAATTCGTTTCGATCCGAATCAAATCGATCTTGAAATTCGATTCGTTTCGATCCGAATTCGATTTTTCTTATAAATTTTTCATTTATAAAAAATATTCGGATTTTTGATTATTTTTATATTTGGTTTGAATTTGATTTTTTATTTTAAAGAAATTTTGTACATTCGATTTTATATCTAATTTAAACATGTATTATTTGGTTCGAATTAATTTAATTTTTATTTTGAAATATAAATATATTGACTTTATTTATAAATATATTTTTAATATTTTATTTAATCAAAACTAATATCAATAACTAAAGAATGTATGTTTAGTGAGTTGTTTGGTTTACCCATTAAACCCATGGGTTTAATGGATTAAAACCCATTTAACCTATAAAACAATTATAACTCAATTGTAATAATAATTGGGTTAACCCATCCAACCCAATCTAATTTGACATATTATAACTGTACAAGGTGATATGAGTAATACTTTGGACTTTAGAAATCATATTATTGATGGGTAATTATTAATGTGTAAACTAATATATACTTAATAAATGAAAATTAATATTACTTTCATATGTATTCTTCTAATAAAATCAAACTAACGTAGCTATGTTTTTCTATCTTGATAATAATTTTTATAGATCTAATGTTATTGTGATTCTATATATATATGTGTATATGATCATATGCATGTATGATTATTATAGTGAAAACCAAATGAAATTCATGGGGTTGGATATGGGCCTAATGGCAAAAGGCCCAACATACAAATCCCTAATCTCAATTTCCTCCGTTTCTCTCTCCTTATATATTACTCTCGTCTCTCATTTCATTTTTGTTTGTCGCTCCGAAGAGGAAACCCTAATTTTGTTTTGAAGCTTCGAACGAAACCCTAACAATGGCGGAAGGTCTCGTTCTGAAGGGCACCATGCGTGCGCACACCGACATGGTTACCGCCATCGCTACACCGATCGATAATGCTGACACGATCGTCTCTTCTTCCCGCGACAAGTCGGTCATCCTCTGGAAACTCACCAAGGACGACAAGGCGTACGGTGTTCCTCAGAGGCGTCTCACAGGCCATTCTCACTTCGTCGAGGATGTTGTCCTCTCTTCGGACGGCCAATTCGCGCTCTCCGGGAGCTGGGACGGCGAGCTCCGCCTCTGGGATCTAGCCACCGGTACCTCCACTCGCCGCTTTGTCGGACACTCCAAGGATGTCCTCTCCGTCGCGTTCTCCCTCGACAACCGTCAGATCGTGTCGGCCTCGCGTGACCGTTCGATCAAGCTGTGGAACACCCTCGGAGAGTGCAAGTACACGATCGCCGAGGGAGCTGGTGAGGGACACCGTGACTGGGTGAGCTGTGTGCGGTTCAGTCCGAACACGCTTCAGCCGACCATTGTCTCTGCGTCGTGGGACAAGACCGTGAAGGTTTGGAACCTCTCGAACTGCAAGCTCCGTTCGACTCTTGTCGGCCACACTGGTTACGTCAGCACGGTGGCTGTGTCTCCGGACGGTTCTCTCTGTGCGAGTGGAGGAAAAGACGGTGTGGTTCTGTTGTGGGATTTGGCCGAGGGGAAGAAGCTCTACTCGCTTGAAGCTGGTGCAGTGATCCACTCTCTCTGCTTCAGCCCCAATAGGTACTGGCTCTGTGCGGCGACCGAGCAGAGCATTAAGATATGGGATCTTGAGAGCAAGAGCATTGTCGAGGACTTGAAGGTTGATCTCAAGGCTGAAGCAGAGAAGTCTGATGGAGCTGGCTCTGCTGCAACCAAAACGAAGGTAATGGACAAGCTTCTGAATTTTGGTTTTGGTCTTTGAATTTTGAGGATACATGTTGAATTCGGTGCAAAGCTTCGTCCTTTTCCACTTCTTGATTGGTATATCTCTGGTTTGCTTCATAAATTGATTGCCTTTGACGTCTGTGATGATAGTTTGATTAAGTTTTGCGCGTTTCTGAGTCATGCTTACAATGTTTATGTCATGGGTTTTTTAGTTCATGCCACGAGTGTGGGGTTACATCATGATTGATTCGTAGTTATACATAGCTGTAGTATTAAGTTGTCCTTGTTAATTATGAATATCATCAATCCAGACTGACTTTTGTTCTGCTTTTCGGCATAATGCTTTGGTCATTGAGAAATGTTTTCCAGTATCTCCCCATGCTTGAATCAATTACCCTTTTACCTGATTAATTGAGGATTAAAGCCCCATTGATTTCAGTAGTTCCCCTTGGTTAGAGTTCTATTTGTTCATATGTACCATCGAAATCATTCGAGGTTGGTTGGTCATTTGTTTGAGCTTGGGAAGATCCGGGAACACATTCTCGATGACTGCATTAACGGTCGATGCTTCATAATCACGACGCGAGATTGATCATGTTTTATGTTTGGACAGGTTATTTACTGCACGAGCCTGAACTGGAGTGCGGATGGAAACACTCTGTTCAGCGGATACACCGACGGTGTCATCAGGGTGTGGGGCATCGGCCGTTACTAAGGAAACCACCACCGGTATCATCTATCTTGCTCTGCTCTCCGAGCTCTCTATCTCTCTTTCACAGTTTCACTCTCTTTTTTATTTTCTGACAAAGAATCATATCATAATGTACTTGAGATTTTGTTTGAATTATCTAGCCGAAGGGTGTTTCATTCCATGTTAAATTTGCAGTTTGTTTTTTGGTGGTAATTCAATACTGGTTTATACGGTAAAATCCATGTATGGAAATAGTTAAATTTTGTTTTGTGGATTCTGAATTAGGGTTTTTTTTTTGGTATAAGAGGGTTATTTTATCTATTGTTGCATATGAAATGGATATATGGATATTATTCCACCAGAGTTACCGGTTTAGGCCCATGATCCACATGTAACGAGCACTAATTAATTTTTATTAATTATAGAATTACCTCCAATTCTAACCGAGGTCCCAAGGTTCATTTTGAATTAATTTTCAAATATATATATATATATTCAATTCAATTTTCATAAAATTTGATTTAGAATATAATTATATATTATTGGTTCTGTAAACTTTGTACAGAGATAATCGGAATATTAACTCTTTGATTTGGGCCGAAGATGGAAACGAAGGCCTACCTAATTTCTGACCACTTCTACATAAAATCTAACTCTTTGGGCTGACAAAAATTTACAACATCCGATCTGGTGACGTGGCGTTGCTTCAATTGTCTGTGATAATTGATTTTCGTCACCGACGCCTGTAGTAATTTATTAGTCTGTGATAATTGATTTCGTCACCGACTCCTATAATAATTTATTAGGTTCTCTCCCGCCATTTCGTACTCCCGCCTTCTTCTCTTCCTAAAATTGAAACATTTTCCCAATATTTTTTTACTTTTTTTTTCTTCCTTCAGACAAAATCGAAAAGGTATAAAATGCACGTTAGGGACATTAAAAACAAAAGGATAAACCCTAAGCAAGAGTCAAACTTGAATAAGGAAGAGCAATGGGCATCAAGGATCTGCTCAGATTTATGAAGCCCTACATAGATCCCATTCAAATCAAGAAATACGCCGGCCAAAGGGTAGATTCGATCAATGCCTTTTGAATTCCATCGATTTGGCATTTTGGGCTTCATCGATTGTTGTTCCTGTTCATGGATCTGGGTTAGTTTGCATGAAATTTTTTATTTTTCGCTTATGGGTGTTTCTCGTTATTCAGGTCGGAATCGATGCCTATTCATGGCTACACAAAGGAGGTGAGCTTCCTGGTCTGTAGTCGTCAATGTATTTTATCTCTTTCTTCAGACTTTGATGCATTTACTGGGGAATTACACAATCTGAATTTTCTTGTGTAGAACTATATATATATCATAAATGAAATCTTAATTTGATAGTTGGGAAGATTGAAAAAACGAGCAGATGCAAAAAGCAAAATGCTCCGCCTTTCAGATTGGACGATGATACAATTTCTAAGTAGATTTTGGTGTCTTTATTGGAAAAATACTGCAGCATATTCATGTAGTATGGAGCTGTGTTTGGATACTGAAGGAAAAAGGAAGCTCAAGTACATAGATTACTTCATGCACAGAATCAACCTTCTCCACCACTATAAGATCATTCCAGTTGTTGTCTTTGATGGTGGGCATATACCCTGTAAAGCTGCAACAGCAGATGAACGGCAAAGGTAAAGTCTCTTGCTTGATTCGATCTGTGCACCAATCCCTCGTTTGGAATCCGAATCAAATTTCGGATTTGTGTATCATTTTTTCCCAGGAGAAGGAAGGCTAACTATGAGTTGGCTATGGAGAAGCTAAAGGAGGGAAATGTTCAAGCGGCTACTGAGCTTTTTCAGGTGCACATTTCCCTTTCACTTCAAGTGAAAAATCCAAAAGTTATGCAACTTTTCGCTCTTGCTGTTGCTTTCTGTTAATTGGGCTCTGAACTGTATTTTCTTATATTTAGTGTATGAGTGTAGATTATTTTACCAAGATACTTCTGAAAGAACATCCAGTTTCGATTCCATGTGCATTGAGCTAGTACATGTCTGCTGATTTTTAATTTTCCTGTGACCATTTACTGTGTAAGCTCATGTCTGATTTCTTCCATTATGCAGAGAGCAATTAGTGTCACACCCTTCATGGCTCATCAACTGATTCAGGTATGCAATGTTTTATTAGCTGAAGAGTTTTGGTGGAATATGTCACTTCCAGATCCTAACGACTTCTCAGGTTCTGAAATCAGAAAACGTCGAATTTATAGTAGCTCCATATGAGGCTGATGCCCAGCTAGCTTACCTAAACAGCCTCGATCTAGAACAAGGCGGGATTTCTGCTGTGATAACTGAAGACAGCGATTTACTTGCATATGGTTGCAAAGCTGTAAGAGCTCCTAAACTCATAAAAGAAATTTTGTTCATAGTAATGTTTTAAATGATCAATTAGACAATTACCAAAAATATTATGTTTTCCATGATTAATGTGTTGTGGTTTCCTAACTGGTGTACATGAATGACCAAAGGTTGTTTTTAAGATGGACCGGTTTGGTAATGGGGAGGAACTAGTTCTGGGCAATGTTTTTCATGCAGTGGATAAAAAGCCTTCTTTCCGTAATTTCGATAGAGAGCTGTTCACTGGTGAGTCTCGATTTTACCTTCATAAAATGTGGTTATCCTTCCAATGGATGTTATGTCTTAGTTCTGATCAAAGAATCCGATTCTGTGGATGGTTTCTGCAGGAATGTGTGTTTTAGCTGGCTGTGATTTCCTCCCGTCGGTTCATGGTGTTGGCATTGTAAAGGCTCACTCATTCGTCTCCAAGTACCGTAATTTAGAACGTGTAAGCATTTACTTTCCAGACATATACTTCACTGAAAGAAAAGGATGACTTGTGAAACCTTATATCTTGTCTGAGAGGCTTATGCCACTTATTGCCATGCCTTGAAATGATGTGATGCTTTGCCGAAAATCTAGGAAAAACTTCAAGTTGGAAATGGTGATTCGGTAATAATTCGGACTTTATGGTCAGGGTTTCACTGGATTATGCCATTAAGCTGTTAGGGGACATGTCTTGGCTTCACATGTACTGAATGCATTGTCCAATGCAGTCTAACTCGTCCAACTGTTTGGATCGTTGTAGGTTCTGTCAGTTCTCAAGATAGAAAAGGGGAATTTAGTATCAGAAGATTACCCCAAGTCTTTCATGGAAGCAATTGCAGTTTTTCAGCATGCCCGAGTGTAAGTAGATCATTAGACATTAGTTCATTGTGTCATCAGTTATCCATTTTTCCCATTCTTACATGTTCACAAGCAAAACATAGCTCCTGTTTCAATTTGTCACAGATACGACCAGAATGCTGAGAAGCTCAGATACATGAAACCCCTCTCCAAGAATCTTCTGGATTTACCAGAGGAAGAACTTGATTTCCTGGGACCGTATCCTTCTCATTGTCCAAACAGTACAATCTTTTTTTCGGAAGTTTTTCATAGTATTTCCATGCAGAGCTGCATACAATAGTGTTTAAGGTTTAGGGTTTAGTAAACATCCTCCTCCTCATGTCAACATATTTTTTTGTTCTCATTGTTTTGATCGTTCATGGCTAGATGTGATATTTTTCAGTTTTGTTCAACTTGACATTGAAAATAACCAGAGACCTCTCACCATCTGTAGCCGCTGCTATTGCGTCAGGAATTGTTGATCCCATAAGCATGGAGGCTTTCAACTGTTTCCCTGATTCTCGAAGCCATTGGAAACCACCTGCTTGGTCTCGAAGCCAAAAGTTTCAGAAGCAGGAAAGGAACAGCTCCTTTTTCTTACATTCTCTGTCTGGAAATGAAAGAAGCAGAGAAGATGAGAATAGGATGGATTCAGAACTTGTTCTGAACGAAATAAGAAGCTCCAGACAAGATTCAGAATTACACAAACTGATTTTACAGCCCAAGGATCAGTTGACTGTAGACACTGCAGAGATTCACAGCAGTGACCTGTTACAGATTCCAGATAATAACCCGTTCAAGAGACGAAAAGTTGAGGAGATTCGGCTTGAACGTGAGAACACATCAGAAGAACTCGAGCTTACATTCGGGACAAAAGGCGAAGAACTCGAAGTAGAGTTTCTCGTGCCTCAGAAAATCATTTCGCCACCAGAATCTACTGAAGATTTTTGTCTCAAGAACATGAAAGAGGGTACATTTGATTCGATCCAGTTCGAAGTTTCTGCAATCAGACTAGGCTCTGAGATCAGAGAGACAAAAGGGTCGGAAATGGCTGAGGACTTAGTCGAGTTGGAAGGAAGATCGAGCAGTACAACGAAAAGGGCTCGCCATGTGAAAGGGACAAGTAGGAGGAATGCCAAGTTGGAAACAAACTGCAGAAGTTCGGAGAACAAGAAGAAAAGCAGCATCTTAGATTTCTTTCAACGTTTGTAACATTGTTCTTATTGATCTATTACATATCATTATTGTCCGACAGAAAAAAAAAACAGAGGCAGATCAATCTAAACATTCATATCCATGGAAGGAGGCTGTATGTAACAACATGCTCGAATTCTCTCTTCATTTATAAATAAATATGTGAAAAGAGAAGTCTTAACGCACAGGGCACATAAGCTATTATATAAACAAAACATATACATACATACATACATACATACATACATACATACATATATGTATATAGCTGTCGCTAACAAGCCGGGTTATATACATAATGTGGGATGTAATATAATACCCACATTTTAGTTTCTCACGGCTACATACATATATAGGTCATATTTATATATATGAAAGCCACATATGATATATATATGTATGTATACATAACAGTTAACGTCGACGTGAAGAAGAAGCCTCTTTCTGGGAGTTATAGTAGACGGTGGCGACGGGAAGGCCGAGGCCGAGGAAGCCGGAGAACATTCGGGTGCTGAAATTTGCCCTAGACGGAGGCGGCTGCACCGCCGCTCCCACCGCAGATTTCTGCCGGAAAAGCACCAATATGTATCTGTGTATCCCCACCGGCGGTCTCGGCTCCATGTACGGCAATATCTCCCTTCCTGTATATATATATTAGGAAAGAATCATTACGAACGAGAGAGAGAGATATCCATCGTATTTCTGTTTTTCTTTTAACCCTATCCTAGGACACATATTTCGGGTTATTTTATATTTAATTTTTCTACTTTTTTATTTTTATTTTTTTATTTTTTTCAGATAAAACTAATTCTTTTTAATTTTGACTTATTTATATATTTTAATTAATTTAGTTTAAATGAATTCTACAAGATTTTTGAAATTAAATATGAAATACTACTCATAATTTTTAAAAGTTCAATCATTTTAAATATTAAATTTATTGTAAAACCATCATTGACAAACAAGATCTAATACATCTTAATATCTTATGTCTTATGTCGTGTTCTGGCAGTGTACATGCATTGAGGTGGTGACCTTATAAGAAACCTCGTGTCAGCCTCACCATTGGATTGGTCGAGTCACGAAATATGTATATACATATATATATATATATATATATATATATATATTACTCAAATATTTAAAACATCAAAAGAAATAATTATAATCTTTTAGTATATACGACGTGATTATGCTATTTCGAAACTGATTTTATTGTATGGTATTTAACAAATAAATACACGCAAATATTATTATATATTAATTGTAAGACCAACGTCACAACAATTACCCTAGTACAGACTCAATATTTATAATATCTTCATACAAGGCAAACCAAACCAAACGAAAATGTCTCAAACAATAAACTGCAACCGTCAATTTAAATCACAAAATTCCTAATCATAAAGACCCTTTACGCTCTTTAGTCTTTACGTTATTCATGCTTAAATAATTTTAAACCCTTTGATAATTTTACAGCTTTGTTTTGAAGCTTAGAGAATTTTAAAAACTTGGAATTATTTTTGGTAAATAAAGTATTTGTTATATTTATGGTTCTAAATAAAAAAAGAAATTAGTGTTTGCCTAAGTTTAGAGTTACCTCGT